CATATTGGGAATATGCGGCTGCAGGTGAGTCACTCTGCTTCGACTGCTTCTGTTTTTCTTTTGGTTTCTCAGAACGAATCGACTCCTGCAGTTTGGTTTTTGGTCGTTTTTAGAAGTGAAGCAGAAAAGCAGCAGCAGCTTGTGGGAGCAGGTTTCTGTTCTGGTGTTGCGTCAGGGTTTCCCCTCTCGGCCGGAGCGTAACAATATTCAAAGTGAAAGCCAGCAGCTGTATCTGAGTGTTTCTGAGACGCCACGTGTTGCTCGCACGTCGTACATTTGTGTATAAAACTGACCGAAAAGCTGACGTTTGGAAACTGAATTTACTTGAGAGTTGCTCATCTTTCAGGAAATCAAACAACCTGCCAGATACATCAGATGTAATTAGCACTAATGTTTGTTTTGGCTTTATTTTTGCTGCACATTTCCCCACTTTGAGATTAACAAATTTAATTTATCTTTCTGTATGTTTTTTCACTGCACTGTCATTGCATCAATATGTCATTCACTGCTGCATTTAACAGTAAAAGCCTTTAAATGTCTCTCGAATCCTTTAAAACGAGAGAAATCCAAACTATTAACCAGGCTGAAGTGAGCCGACGTTCCAGTTTTAAAGCTCCACTTTGGATCTTTAATGGCTCCAAATAGCCTCAAAAGTGGGAAATATTTGACGCCAGAATTCCTTTTCCTATATTTATTATTCCTGCCTGCTACATTCACAGACTAAACTCAAATTACAGCGGTTATATTCAACATTTTAGGACTTTTTGTCTTGTTTGCACACTGTTATCCAAGCTGCTGGGTGTCCACAGGATCCGTCTATGTCTCGCTTTTCCTGCAGTTAATTAATCAAAACGAATGCATTAAAGCCCTAATTATGACACAAACACACTCTGGGGTGCATCGAACACAGAAAGACGCAGGAAGCTTGTGTGGATGTTTTCTGAACGGCGGTGACTTTAACTGGAAACAGCAGCTGATCACAGTCTGTTAGTGAATATTAGAACGTATATTCATGAGTTTTCTGCTGCTGAAGTTTGTTGGGCACAAAAAAAAAAGTCAGACTATTGTTTTGAACTGTAACATGAAACTGACATCAGCTTGTGTCCATGCAGGATTGTTGCTGGACCAGTCTACCAGTATGTGTGAGCTGTTGTCACTGTTTAGATGATCACTGGTCACTCTTCAGGTGGAGAGTGAGTGTCATGCACCCAGTGGGCTCATCAGACATGTGCCTGTGCTTGGATTTCCACAATCCATTTATTAACAATAAAACCAGCTCCCAAACATCTACCATCGACTTACATGTAGGACGCCTGACTGAGCACTGAGCATCCCGTCACCACTCTTACAGGAACTTGAGCTTTCCTCCTCCTGTACATTCTACTCTTGAGGTTGCATTCCCTGTCATGCTGTAGGACAATGGAGTTGTGTGTGTGTGTGTGTGTGTGTGTGTGTGTGTGTGTGTGTGTGTGTCCTCTCCCAGGAAAAAAAAAAGCATTACGGTAGGTCTCTTTGCTGCTCAGCATCCCCCTGAAACAGCTGCAGGACCCAGCATCTGCACAACCAAAAACTAACGAGCTCCCTCCATCTTTTGCACCAAAAGTTAAAAATCCACGTAGAGACCGACTCTGCATCCTCGAAGCGACACGGTCAGCTCATCACAGAGGAGATTAAGCGAGGTGCAGCTTTAATAATAAACCCTAATGAACTAATTAGGGGGCAGTTGGTAGCACTGTTGCCTCGCAGCAAGACGTTGGCCGGTTCGCGTCCCGATGGGGGCACCGGAATCTTTCTGCGTGGAGTCTCCATGTTCTCCCCGTGCAGCGTGGGTTCTCTCCAGGTTCTCCGGCTTCCTCCCACAGTCCAAAAACATGTTGAGGTTAATTGATGATTGTAAATTGTCCGTAGGTGTGAATGTGAGTGTGCTTGGTTGTCTGTCTCTAAGTGTAGCCCTGTGATAGACTGGTTACCTGTCCAGGTGAACCTGCCTTCACCCTGAGTCAGCTGGGATAGACTCCAGCCCCCCATGACCCTAGTGAGGATTAAGTGGTGTATAGATGATGGATGGAACTAATTAGGGAGGTTCCTGAATGACTGCGGCTGTAAACGACGAGCGGATTTATGACTGATGCTCCTGCAGCCTGATGTCTTCGGTCACTGGCATTGCTCATCATGAAACCATCATGAAAACATAATGAGTGTTTGCTTTAATTGCTTTAAAAGGTTATGCAGGTTATGCAATTCTTATTTTTTTCCCTGTCGAGGCGGTTTATTATCCAACAACAGGCCAAACAGGTGCCTCTTCTTCACATTTTAGCATCTTACGCTGGAGAACTGCTGTAAAAACTCAACCTGTTTGTAGTTTACAGGCAAGTTTTGATGCTAAAATGTAGTGACAAGTGAATTAAAACATGAAAACACGACCAAGAAATAAAAACTAAAGCAGAAACACTGAGCTGAAACTCTCACCCGGCTCCATCTTGATGACTTTCAGCGCTGCCAGCTCTCCATTCCGCTTGTTTCGTGCCTGAAAACACATTAAAAAAAACGCTGGTTATTTGTTTTTACTCCGCTGCAGCTGAGAAAAGTTGTTTTCTTGCACACGAGCGCGGAGCTGCATTTGCATATTCGATGTCCAGATCGGTGGAGTGTAAGAAACCGCACACATGCACACGATGACCTTTAAAGAGCGAGTCACTTCTCTCAGCGTTTACACAGAAAGTTATATTTAAGCACAGAAACCATGAAGACACCTTCCCATCAACCACACACACACTTTAAACTTTTTATTTTTAGTTTGAGCAAGATGATGCTGATAAAACACCTTCTGACACCCAAAATATCCTGAAAAATGCACTTTTAAGGTCAAATACGGAACAAAAAACCACCAAATGCTGCAAGTAAAGTTCATATATTATCACTTAAAAGACCCAAAATGACTTCAGATGTACGATCGAGTGTTTTTAACTTCGTCTATATGATGTTTTTTAAATGCCAGAAAACACATCGAGTGCAAAATAACCAGTCAGTTGAAACCGAGATTCAGAAAAGCAGCTTTTGTTTTTTTTATATACGCAGCAAACACAGAGGAACCAGATCCGGTCCAGAAGGGGGACTTTCTGTGTCATTATTAGAATCAGTTTCCAGTTCCAACAGTTTTCGCCTCGATTACTCCGACGTGTTTTGGCGTAACGTGGAGACGGCGGAGAGGTGGGTGGACAAAGAGGTAGTGAGATGTTTCTGAGGCATTTTAAAGCAGGAATCTGTTATTTTCATGTCAAAACAAAACAAAACAAAACACCTACATTGGAGTTTTTAGGGGTTTAATCCAGCGGTTATTGAGCCACGACCCCCAAGATAAGTTTGTGTTTGTGACGCCCCAGTTTGAATTCTTAATATATCACCAGTAATAACTTTGTTGTTCGTGCGTTAATTAAAAATGAACGTGTAGATTAATCGCTTTACAGTCATTTTATTTTAAATGAATGAATGAATTGAATTTATTTCCAACAAATGAAGGAGAAAAAAACTACAAAAATAAAAGTAAATAATTTAAAAAAGAGAATTAAAACAAAATAGAATCGAATCATAATATTAACAAGTTCAAAAAAGGAGTGACACTTTGAATGTTGACAGCCCAAATACACATTTATTTAATAAATATAGGCTGTATTTATTTATTTATATATATATTTTTTGTTTTTACAATGATCTGACGACCCCCTTGAATTATCTTGGGACCCCCATGAGGGTCCCGACCCCCAATTTGAGAACCACTGGTTTAATCACCAGCCAGAGGAACTAAAGCACAGACAAAAGACAACAACATCCCATCTTCAAAAGCGAAGCTTGAAGTCGCCTCCGGAGAGTCTGCAGCGTCGTCTGGTAACCAACGGAAACGCCGGGCGTCCATCTTGGTCGTTGCCACGGTAACCACAAGCCGAGCGCACGTCACGTTAAATTTTCCATCGTTTGTTTTTTGACCTTCTCGTCCTGTTCGCGCTTTAGTTATCGTTAATATTACAAAGAAATGTAGGATTTGTGAAACGTGTGATGAGTGTAATTAAATATGATGTAAGTGTGTAATTCTGTTGTGTTTCACTCAACAAACGCAAAAACAAACGGCGCCAACGACACAAACAATCAGCATAAAGTCAAAAACAAGTGTCCACCACTGAGCCAAGAATAAAACAAAAGAAAAAAAACAACCTAACCACAGATACCGTCAGAACAAGCTGCTGTTTCGGTGGTTCGAAAGCCAAAGACGAGTTCGCTGCTCTCGGAGGAAACACCCATTCACACAGCGTCAGTCCCGAAATAGAAAACAGTCATACGAGCACAGTGAGGGCCGGACAGGTAGTGAAACGGAAACTCCACCAGCTCAGAGAGGCAGCTTCTGAACTGCATCGCACACGGGAATGCCGTCAGGGTCACCGGCCGAGTCGAACACCCGGTAACGTCCCTTCAGACTCAGTTTGCCCCCAAAACAAAAACCAGTTCGTCATCGGAGAAACTTGACGTCAGCGAGCAAACGAGAAAGCCCGACCTCCGACTGTCGAAGTCTGTCGGAAAATTAAAATGGCGACCGTTGTGAAGGTTGGCGGTCGACTGTTGAAACGGCAACAGCGGAAAGTCGGGCGGTTGTGGAGGACGCAAACACAAACCAACTTTCATGATGTTGAAACCGAGCCGGAGAATCTTTTATCCGCTGAGGTTCGGAGGTGGCTTCTCTCAGGTTCTCCTCCTCAGTTTAAAGAACAAGAGAACCGGTTGGCGATGCCAGCTGTTGCTTCTACAGAACACCATCAGAGCTGCTTCAAGGCTTCAAACCAACACATGGCGCCACAGCTGGTCTCTTTTCACCTTAAATCCACCTTTTCTGTTCTTGTATAGGTTTTTAGCTACTCACAGGGCTTCGATGTTCACGGTCAGAAATCCAACATCTTGCCCACATTTAGCAACAAGGAACTTGCGACCAGAAAGACTCACCAACTAAAGCCAGCTGCAGCTCCATTTTACCAACATGTCTCAGCTCTAAACGTCTCCATATTTTGCACACATTCTGCTCGTCTGCAGTTGAAATAAATGAATCTTATTTGTCTTCCTGGTTTAAAGGTGTGAGTTCACTTAAAACAGCTATTCTAGTTGGAAGGAAAGCTAAAAAAAAAAAGGTTTCCTGCTCTTTTAGAATCAAAATCATGTTTATGTTTGTAGAAAACAAATACAGAAGCTGGAAAATTCCTTTAAAATTAAGCTGTAGCGACGCAAAGTGCTCATTTGGGAAATTATTTAGCTTAAACCAGCGGCATTGGTGCATCTTATAACCTCATTTAGATCATCTTTATTCAGTCGCTTGTTGCCGACTGAAGCAGTTTATTCAACTTGGTGCAACAATTTCAGCGATCGTGTGCTGGAAAAGCAAATCAAAGCGGCTACAAGTCTGCAGGTTAAACACAACAACTGACTCCTTCACTTTAAAGAACTGTTTAACTTAGAGTAAATATCCAACATTTCACGTCACGCCGCTCCGTTCTGTGACACATCGTCGACCTGTGATCCCTCCACGGGGCACCACCGTGTACTTAAAGGACCGGCGGTGGCGTCGACCGATCGATTCGCTGCTTAATGTGATCTGGTTACTTTCATAAAAGAGAAAAAGCTCTAAATCCATTATTTTTAGTGGCCCAACACTTGTATTTTCAAATGTTTTTACAGCTTTATTTAACAGTCACTGACCGATGCCAAAGAAGGCGTCCATGTTTTCTGCGTTTTGGCCACAAAGTCGAATGCAAACATTGGTTTTGTGCATCGCAGCTCAACAACCAGCGCGTAGATCGTCTAAAAACATCCGCTAGCTTGTCTGCGTTTCAGTCCTCAGCAGTTCTTGTGCTGCAGAAATCCTACGAACATGTGCAGCTACTCCGCTCCCGCTCGGTCCTTATGACTTCAGGAGGATGCAAAGATTCAACGCGCCGCAAACTCCAGCTTTTAGCGCAGATTAGTAATTATTTTAGGGTAATAAGGCTACAGGTATTTAATCTATACATGCAACCCCTTGGAAATGTCATCAGGAGACACGTCAGGCGTCAGTTTCCATGGTTACGCTGATGACACACAACTGTACATCGGCGTGTCTCCTGGTGACCTGAGGACAGCTGATGCCCATTTTAACGTCTTAGGAACGTCACATTTTGGGCTATATTACCACAGTAGTTCATTTGTTTTATTTTTATTATTCTATTATTGTTATTATAGTTTGTTTTTATTTTTAAATATTTTAAATATTTTTAAATATATTTTTATTTTCTTTATATATATATTTAAATATTCTTTTTATTATTTTATTATTGTTTTTTTAAATATTTTAAAATGCATTTTATGTTCTTTATATATTTTTAATTTTATTTTTTATTATTTTACTATTGTTTTTATTTTTTATTTTTTTAAACATTTTAAAATATATTTTTATTTTTTTTATATATTTTTATTTTTTGCAAATCAAACAAGAGCTCGGGTCTTAAGAGGTTAATTGTATTTTAGATATAAAAAATGGATGGCAAACAACGTTTTAAAGCTCGACCAGGACCAAACAGAGGTACCGCTCACTGGGACTAAAGCTCAGAGAGGCTTGCTGGAATTAAAACAAAGCGAACAAGTTAAAAATCTTGGAGTCATCTTGGACTCTGCGATCGGTTTTGAGCCCCACGTTTAAAATATTACCAAGATTTTTTTATCACTTAAAAACATTGCAAACTCTTGAAAACTGATGCAGAGACACTAATACATGCTTTTATTACTTGACTACTGCAGCGCTCTCCTATCTGGACCAAACATCCTCTCCAGCGTCTTCAGAACCCGGCAGCACGAGTTCTAACTAAGACCAGAAGGAGAGCTCAGATTGCACTGATTTTAAGATTCTTTTTATTAGTTTCTAAAGTTCTTCATGGTCTTGGTCTCTTTATATTCATCAGATTTGCTTTTGTCTTATGAACCCTCCGGTCTTCTGGCTTTTTAATTAAACCCAAAGCCAGAACAGAAACCTACGGCTCGCATCTCTGGAACAGCAGAAGACCTGAGCAAACTCCAGACCTACCTTTTTATTCAGCCTTTGGATTGATTTGATGGACTTTATTTATGTTTAACTCATTTTGTTTATTCTCTATTTATTCACCTGTTTACATATTTTAGACTTTTTGTTGTACTTGTTTATTACGTCATTTTTATTTATTTTTTTTAGCATTTTCTGTTGTTTTTTTTTTTAACTGTATTTCTACATCTTTTAAATAATCGGTATCTTATTTCGTTTATTAGCTCATTTTATTTTATTTCATCTCACCTGGTGCGTCCTCGTTGCCCGTGTCATACAGGAAAGGTCTTCAGTCTTTTATTGATAACTGGACTGTGGGGGTTGTTGCTGGAAATAAAGTCTGATTGGCTGATACAGGTGGAGCGTTTAGTTCTTCTCCAGACAACCAACCGACCGATAAACAGCTCAGTAACATTTAACTCGACTGTGTTTTGACCGGTGGAGGCTGGAGGACGCACAGAACTTCCGCTCCAGTCCGACGACGAGCGGCGTT